AAAATATTATTATATTATACTGTGTGTGTGTATATATATATATATATATATATATATATATATACTGTATGTATGTATGCATCACTTAAACCACACATAAATAAAGTCATTACTATTGATTACTGTCATAAAAATTAAAACAAAACTTCACCAAATTGAGTGCTTATGATCACAGTAAATAAATATGCATATATACAAGCACTTTTTTATAATGGCACAAATACTTACAATGTTCCCTCATATGCTTTTTCTTATTTCCTGTGCAGTGTGATGGTACTGATCTAACTAGTAAAGCGCAGGATATGAAACTGCAGTGCCTCCTGTTCCTCAACATCCCCAGGTAAAACTGACCTGAAATGGAACTGTGCAAAACAAATGTCTTATGTAACTACCATATAAGAGAACCTATGTACATTCTTGTATTAATTTGTGCGCTATTTGATATAGATCCTCTTTATTTTTTTTGCATAACTACATTTTATTTGAGAAAAAACGAAACTTCACTCTAGTTGCCAGTCAGACCATTTCATCCATGTGACATCAAATTTCATGTCATCAAACCATGACAGGAAACTTGGACTGAAAACCATATTATAAAAAGAGATTCGCTGTTCCAAATTATGTTTAATCCAGGATAAAATATAATCTAGACACAAGAAACTAGTCTAGAGTTCATTAAAATGAGATTATCCTGACTGAGCTGGGCATTATGTTCTGTAGATATTGCGCTGGTACGATGCCATGGGGGAACCCAAGTGAGCACAATGACTTTGGGCCACAGAAACATGACGATGGGCTCATTGAGGTTATTGGCTTCACCATGACCTCTCTGGTGAGATTTGGCTTTGGTTCCTTAATGGATTTGGTCTACATTTACCCTTGACTCCATCCAAATGTTGCTGCTCTCTTTCTATAGGCAACGCTGCAGGTTGGAGGACATGGCGAGAGGCTTCATCAGTGTCAGGAGGTGACCCTGACAACCTTTAAGCCCATTCCTGTGCAGGTGGATGGAGAACCCTGTAGACTGGCTCCATCCGTCATACGCATCACCCTCAGGAACCAGGCCAACATGCTGCAGAAGACCAAGAGAAGAATCTCTCTACCACAACTGTATGAGTCAGTATCTATCTATCTATCTATCTATCTATCTATCTGTCTGTCTGTCTGTCTGTCTGTCTGTCTATCTATCTATCCACCCATCTGTCTGTCTGTCCGTCTGTCCGTCTATCTATCTATCTATCTGTCTATCTATCTGTCCACCTTCATTATGATAAGGAGCAGCTCAGGGAGGCCTGTGAGTATCTCTTCTCCTCGTCCTCTCTCTTTTTCACAGCTCTGAGAACCTACTCATGCACTCCCGGAAAAGCTTCTGCTTTTCAAATACGACTTAATTTAAACAGATCCTAACCCGTGTTTCCTCTTTTCTTTCACCTTCTCAGCGATTCCTATGGGGATAATTACAGTTCCCGGGAACAGTGATTTGGAGACGTGCCGGCTGCATATCGAGAAGCTACATGAGGTGCTTTTCAGCTTGTTGAATCCTGGTTAGAAATGTGCCAACAGGCCGATTTGGCTACAACCTCCTTCCTCATTTGCAGAGGTTAAGGGGAGGATCTGAACTGTCAAAGACTGGCTTGATGTCAACATGAAATCAGAATTGACTATTTACCTTCTTAATCAATGTTACTTGTCTTATTGTGAACGATTCATCTGTGCATGTTATCCCCAAAAAAGTTTGTCTTTGTAATCATTCATCAAAATACAATAACTTACTCCACCTCTACTTTCCTTTTCAGTGACATCATCAAGCCCTTTTATTTTCAACTCCGCCCATTTGGCATGAAACACCCTTTTTAACAACCCAAATAATTTCTAAAAGATAAAATCCTGTCCTACTGTTTTTTTTCGTCGTTGTTGTTGAAAATATTGTTTCAATCATATAGAAGTCAGATAACTCTAGTAAAATGGGTTGCAATGGTGACTTTAACTAATTCTTGGCTAAATAAGAATACTTCTGTGTTAATGCTACCTCTTGGAAAGAAAATACATTTTTCATTTAATTTAGCTCGAAATCTATTTCCTGTGGTGACATTAACACGTCTTTGAAACACAAAGAGTGTATTTTACTTTTAAGAGTCACTTTCCACTATAATTGCCACTATTCATGCCAAACATGTTATATTGAGCATGTGACAGCCATTGCACGTTGACTTCCTGTTCAATTACAGTCACAAAAACACATTGTGACTAATTGAACTCACACAGTGAGGCCATTTTGGACAAGAGCCATTTTTCACTTGCACTTTCTCTGTGTATTTTTTTTCTCTCTTTAGGAGGGGGATGGTGTGAATACAGACACACTGCACATGCCAAAGCTTTCACCAAAATGGTGCTTCCTGGATTGTAAGTAGTAGAGCATTTCAAGTTCATTTTGAAAAAACAGCATAGAAGTTATCTAAAAAATAGTGTTATAATTCTATATACATAACTTAGGCTTTCTATGTTGAATCATTTTTGTGAGATTCATTGCTCTTGACATTTCCAAAACTTTGCAAACCCCATAATCAGATTTTTCCATCTTTGGATTGTTTACAGCCACTACAGCAGACCGTTTCTACAGAATAGACCGCGGTCAGGTACCTACAACAGGCAACTTTGAGGTTTTACATCTGTGCTGCATGTCACACTGTGCCGATTTCATTGCGTATCTCTGCAGGAGCATCTAAACTATGTGACGGAGATCTCTCAGGATGAGCTTTTCATCTTGGACCCGGAGCTGGTCACCAAGGAGACGGTGGGCACGTCGCCCGGAATGCCGGGGGCGATGGAAACTGTTGGGGAATGTTCCAACAGCACAGACCAGTTTGCTTTTCCTGCCTGCTCTGCCGGGCCTTCTCCACTGTGCAGGTAGATTGAAACGAGTCGCTTCAGATGACAAAATGTGTGGTTAAACTGTATCAACTCATGTTGTTAGGGCTGCAAACAGCTTTTGCACAGCCTCAAGGTGCAATTTTATGTCGCTTTTTACTTTGGCAGATGATTTTAACACCGTCGACTAGCAGAGTACGTGCGTAGGCAGGTTTAGTTTCGCCTGTGGGCATGAAATGTCTGAGAATATCCCCGGAAAAACAGCAAAAGTGCACAAAACCCTCATTAAGGAACTAAAAAAATGTCTTAATTATTAATGTCTTGTTAATTTTGCCAAAACAGATGTAGGTTTAGCTTGAATCCATAAGAATTATAATTTTCTTTATTATGCACAACTGATGTGAATGCACTTACAAAAAAGTACCAGAAAGTACCATGGTAATATTATGATGTTGTTTTTTGGACTTATATGGAATATGTAATATGGAAAAAGCATGGTATATGAATATGCTAATTTGATATTACCATCTCATGGCATTACTGTAGTCCTATCACAGTACTTTTTTATAAGTGTAGGAAGTCCCCAAAAAAATAATATACAGTAATATAATATATAGTGTGGTCTAAATGTCTGAAACCACTAGAAAAAAAAAAACGAATTTAATACATTTTTTCATCAAAAAATAATTATTTTAATATACATATATATTTTATATTATTATATTTATTTTATATTATGTATTTTATATGGACAATATTACTTTAATATTACATTATAAATACATATATATACCTATAAATAATATTATAAAAATAATACAAACATATAAATTATATTAGCATAACAGTTTAAGTAAAAAAAAACAACAACTGATATGAATTTCAGAATGTCCCAAATACATACATATCTAGAGAAGCTTGTGTGTGTGCAGTAAATACGTAACATTAGACTGAACCGAATGCGTTCCTTCCTGTTTGAAAAAAACAAAAAAAACGACAGTTGCTCTTCAGCTCTAGTCTATTCCCTCAGGGGAAGTCTTTTAGTCTGTGTATTTGTGTGCACATCTGATAGCGAGACAGAGAGAGTGAGAGACAGCGACATTTTTGTGCCAAAGTCTCCTGTGAGCGAGCACAAATCTGCGTGTTGCTCAAATGTGAGTCCATCCAGGACAGGACAGTCCCTCATAAAGGCCCCTGCTATTAAAAACTCATTTATCTGTGTTTACATTCACCCTCCCCCTGCCTGACGCACAGCAGATCGCTGAAAAAACACATCCCATCTGTCAGACCACATTGTAGCAGTTGTTCTGTTACAGTAAATTATACACATCTCACAAACAATGAGTGTCCCGCCCCCCACAGCATGTAAACACATCCTCCTCTCTGTTGTCTGTCCATCCCATCATGCTCTCGCAGGGTTCACCAGACGCATGCTGAAGGCCAAACGGAAAGCGCGAGCATGGATAGCGACACACACAAGCAAACTAGCGATCCAGAGACTCCCACGAAGCCAGGCTTGTGCAGGTACATCTCAAACTGAGCGCTTTGTGGTCTAATTCAGACCTTCACGTCCAAAGCTTTGATTGTTTCCATGACAACACGATTATGCCTTTTTATAGCCAACATCATTACTAAGCTAACAACGTTATCCGTCCCATGATTCCATGTGCATAATTAGGGCTCAGTAATGCCCATCTGCAACAAAAGTGCACTACAATGGCACAATAATACCATGGTACTTTGAAATATACCATTGCACCATGTCATTTTTTTGTTAATGAGAGGGGCAGAAGATATCCATTTCAAATGAATATCTTACATAAGCTTGTCTTTGCCCAATGTCTTTCATCTTGAAGGAGGGGAGCAAAAATTATGAATTTGGATCGTTCAAACACACTTGATGAGGACTCAGTGAATGTGCCAAGGTACATACAATATTTAATAATCATCGCTGGCAAGACAGATGTAGTTGGCTTTGGTTATGAATAGTGGTATTAATATTCCATTTTAATTTCACAGGTTAGATTCTGGCTGGAATGACAGTGATCAAGGTACACACATTTAATATAAAAAATAGTTTATTGTAATATATATATATGCACACTATACACACACACACACACACACACACACACACAGTATGTATGTATATATATATATAAAATACAATAAACTACTTTTATATTATTATTATAAATATACAACTTTAAAATATATTACGAAATATACCAATTTAGTACAATAAAAGTACTCATATTTTTCAAATTTTTTAGAGTATAATTAGATATGATATATAATTGTATTAATTAATTAATTTATTTATTTAAAAAAATATTATTAATAAAATAAACTATTACAAATATACAATTATTATTAGTATCAGAATTTTGTAAAATATAATTTAATAAAATATATTATCACATATTCATGCATTTTCTATCATTTCATAGAGCCATTTTGTACAATAAAAACACTCATATTTGTCTTTGTCATGTCTTTCAGAATCAATCAGTTTGCTCTTTGATGCCGCAAAGTCTGGCGACCTCGAAAAGGTATTCATAAAATAACCTATTCCTGCAATATCATACATTAGCATCACCAGACCTCATGGACCTCTTCTCTGGTCGTTCATGTTCTCAGCTGGTTCAGATGCATGAAGGTGGGGCCAACCTGTTGGTCCAGGACCGTTTTGGCTGCACCCTCCTCCATCATGCAGTCCTTTTAGGCAGTAAAGAGATTCTGAAGTATATAATTGATAATGGTGAGTTGATTGGACTTCATTTTTTGATTTTTGACTTTTGACTTGCGTCTCATTTTTAATTATCTTTCACTGTTTTTGGTGAACAGCTCCGGCCTGCATCCTTGATGTGACAGAGAAATCAACGTAAGTAGTGCTGGAGCCACTCCGGCATCTTTTACTCCATTTAATTTGTGGTGAAAGGGATAAAGGAGCTAGATTTGATTGACATTCATGGTTAGGAGGCGTTTCTCTTTGTTTTTTATTCAGAGGGGAGACGGCCCTGCATAAGGCTGCTGCGTTGTGCCAGAGAACAATCTGCTATTACCTGGTGGAGGCCGGAGCATCCCTCATGAAGACAGATCTACAGGTGAGAACATTCACATGGACCTTTTACCTGTACCTTATTTCTTAACATTTCCTTGGATGATATTTAAACACTTGATATGTTTTTTTTTTTTGGCTAATGTCATAGCCTAAAAAAATTTCACCGCCCCCTTGCATATAAGTGTTTTGAAACAGTATCCATATAAATCATCATTTTTTTTAGACAAAGCATTATGAAATTGTTTACTTATGGTTTGCGATGCAGTTGCTCTCAGATGCAGTACAGTTGACTGTTTCCCACTTATCAGTGCTGTTTCCTTCACAACAAAAGTTTCTCGAACTCTCCTTTACACTGTGCCTCGTTTACAAAACAATCTGCAGTCAAATGCTCCGAGTAAACATATAATCCTCCGACGTGATCCGGGACATCATTCAAATAAATCATACACTTGTTTCTGATGCTGAGGATCTTTTGAAATCTCTACAGATGGAAACAAGCTGGACGCTGGACAAAGCAAACGTCCATTTATTCTTCCATTTGTTCTGTTGTCAGCAGTACGTCAAGAATACTGGAGACAGTATAAATGATTATAATGCGTTCTGTTTGTTTTTTGACACGACGCGAAGCCCTTGTCCGATGAATACCGATAAATGACTGAATGCCAGTGGGCGGGGCTTATGGTGCTATGATGTATAACTATTCGCCGATGTGCTGCTCTGGAGGCGGTCATATGCAAATGTATTTGACAATGTGATGTCACAGATCCCGCAATATTCAAATAAGCATTTTTTTTAAACTTCGTTAAACATGTATTATTATTTTAATAATATATTACTATTATGTGTGTTTAAGCTATTTATTTTTATTTATACCACCAAGCATGTTAAAATAAAAGGTGGCAAAAACAAGAAAAAAATAAATGAATTAAAAAAAATAATAAAAAGTCTTTCCTGTATCTTACATTATCATAATTTTGTGTATTTTATCTATTATTGTAAAAATTTAATTTTATTATAATAGATCTTATTTGTTTATTTATAGCATACTTATTATGTGTATAAATAAAAGGTGGCAAAACTAAGAAAATGTAGTTTAATAATATATTCCTGCATTATCATAATAAGTTTGTTTCATTTGCCTATAATTGCAAAAAAGTATTCTGTATTATATTATATTGTTATTTTATATATTTTATTTATTAATTCCAGCAAGCATCAGTATAACTAAAAAGTTGCAAAAACTTTTGCAAAAAAAATCTAATTAATTAATTTTAAAAATCGTTCTGTCATTCTGCAGGGTGAAACTCCAAAGATGTACGCAGAAAGAGCTCAAGACATGGAGTTGGCCGCATACTTGGAAAACCGACAACACCACCAGATGATCCAGAGGGAGGACCATGAGACGGCTGTGTGACCGGCCTCCGGAACCATCCTTTCCATCCGCCACCAAACCACAGAGTCTTATCTGCTCTCTCTCATGGCCACTTTATCCGGTACGGCCACACGTTAGCGATGCTATAAGGCAGCATGTGTGCGGAAATTAGTTTGTTGCTCTCTGTATTGATTGTAATGCCAAAAAGACAGTGTTAGTGTCATGTTTCAGAATGCATGAGTTTGCTACGTCACGTCCAGCTTTCAGGGCTGCGCAAAACCGCACCGCTCCGCTCCTTAGGACCCAATGTGCAAAATTTGGGGAATTTCAGGGCTGAAATACCATGTATGAAAGTGGCTTTTACTAAACTACTATAAAGAAAACCAGACAAACCTCACGAGAGATTAACAGGAGAGGTTTTTGCTGCTTCTGATTACATAATATCGATGTTTGAATTTCTGATTGCATATCTAAACGTTTTACAGATTTTATGTGACCGCAGAAACTTCCTGTAGCTTGGCTTCCACTTCACGTGTTTGTTCTGATTCGAGATAGACGTTGTTTTCATAGCCTCCTGCGTTTAAGAATGCTTCCTCAGCTGTTGCTTACGACCAGTTTCTCTCTTTGTGGTAAATGCTTGAATTTCGTAAAAACATTCCATTAATTACTACCTTAGATAGCATTAAATCAGTTCTCTATTCACAGTATATTATAAACTGTAATCATTTCTTAGTCAGTAGATTTGCCTTTGGTTGATTTATGACCTAAATGACTGAAGTTTCCTTCAGGAAAGAATAGAATGGGATGTATCTCTTAGCATAGATTGCTTGCACTGACTGCTATAATTTTAAATGAAAATTTGATCTCACCAAGTGTGATTTTAAGTTCTTTACAGAATTTATGAAGTCATGCAGCAATGTGGACTTGTTGGTTTTGGTTTCCGTCCAAATTGAGCATGTTAAGTACACAGAAAATTCTTCTGGTAGAGTTTTTAGATGCTAAATCACATTTTCAGTGACAAATGGCTGGGTAACAGAGTTACCCATATATTTACATATATTTATATCATCATCTGCGGTTTAAATTCTTATATATTCAACCAGGTCACTTTATGTACGTGTACAATTGACTAAATGCTTGAATAATAAAAGAGACAGGAAACTGGTCTTTTTTACAATGCAGCCATTTGACAACGCCGTGTTGTCAGCATTGTCATAGTGTGTGTTTGTGGTGAGATGTCATTATGATAGAATATGTATTTTGTCAGTGCTTTGTATGAGTTGCTATGCAATTCCAAATAGATGATACATGTATATAATCAGTCAAACATTTTAAAAATGTGTCAACAATCTGTTCTGATATAAAGGTCTTTCATTTGTATGTGATATGAACTTAGATAATGCTTTATTTATAAGAGTAGATAAGAATTTTGTTAGAGGAAAAGTCATAGTTGTTCTTGGGGTTGCATTGTTACTGTCTACTTGGGGGGGAAAAGAAATAAAGTCTTTAAAAAAACAAGTTTTTGTTATTGCAATATCTACTGAGTGTACTTTGATTATAAGGTATAATTGACTGAGATTATTGGTGATTATTGGTGAGTATTGGTGAGATTATTATATTAAGTGGTGAATGCATACGTCATCATCATTATCATTCTCTTATTACACAGCGATGGCATCTTTTCAGGTCTTGGAGCGCCGGGTGGTAAACTGTGTATAATGCTGAACTCTGCCTCTCCCTAGGAGGTCTTTATGTCTGAATGAGTTACCGGCAATGATGGATGTGTTGACATTTGTGACTCATTTATCATTTCGGAGATAAGCCTATTGTTTTCTCTCTCCTGCTCTAGCTCCGTTTCTGGAGTATAGGGAAAGGACGCAAATGTATTTTTAAATCAGTTTAACCTCAGTTCAACCTCAGCTTATTTTAAATTTGGCAGATAGTATAAGAAAAAAAAAACATTTCACACAGACTCATCTGAACAGAGAATCATTGGTGAAATCATATAATGTAATATGCAGATAGACTGGATTATTTATATAGAATATTTCCTACACAATGGCAATTCAAAGCACTTAAAAACACACAGGGACAGAATACAAAAATGAAATTAAAAAACAAGTTAAAAAACCACGTAGGAAAAGAAACAAAACAAAGCAAAACAATAATTTAAAATGTGTTAGATATTCTAAAGGGACAGGGTCATAACAAATCTAATAAAAAAATAAAACAGAGGAAACAAATAAAATAGTCAGCTAACAAAATAAAATAGACTAATTCTACAACAGGAAATAGATCGCAAAACAATTATATATAGGATTATATTTAGAGTAGATGTTATTTATTTATAACACCAAGCATAAGTAACTTTGTATAACTAAAAGGTGACAAATATAAGAAAAACATTTTTTAAATAAGAGAAATGTATTTTCCTCATCTTGCTTTATCATAATTTTGTATATTTATTTGTTTTATGCATCTATAATTGATATATAATAAATACATTATTTATTTATTTACCAATATGCCTATAAAATGTTATAGTAATACTAATAATTAGAAAAATAAAAAAATCTGAAAGAATTACATTTACATTGTCATTTAGCAGACGCTTTTATCCAAAGTGACTTACAAATGAGGACAATTAAAGAAATTACTGAAAAAGAGAAATGTCTTTCCATAATCATAACCTTGCATTAAATTTGGTTTATTTACTTGTTTCATGCATTTATAATTGCAAAATAAATTAATTAAAAAAATTATTTGCAAAAAAAAATATTTTATTCATTTCCAGCAACCATAAAAAGGTGGCAAAAATAAGAAATAAATGTAAAAGTAAATAAATTAAAAGAAATGTATCAATTCAATAAGAGAAATATCTTTCCTTAATCGTGATTTTGATTATTTATTAATTTTATGTATCTGTAATTGCAAAAATGTCATTACATTATAGTAGATGTTATTTATTTTATTTTTACCAGCAAACATCTGTATAAATATACTGTGCAAGAGGAAAGAGACCTGCCGACCGCTGTTTCTCCTCGCACAAAAAGTCCGACCCCGAGGAGCCCTTCACATTTATGAGTGACTGAAGAATGGAGCCGTGCCGCGGGCTGCGTCGTGAAAGGAGCCTGTTTTAATGGAGGCAGGAAAAGAATGAAAAGGAGAAGTGCTGTGTGCTTTTTTTTTTTCGAGAAAGAGGAAAATATAGAGAGGCTCTTTTATGGAGTCACACAGCGAGCTGCTAGGATGGCGGAGGACATTGTGTACACAGTGTCTTTAATTCACAGTACAGAGAAAACATTCATATCTGATGTGTTATTATCTGATTTTTTTCTGTTTTGGGGTTTCTGAGAGGACCTTTCAAACCGACTAATTCTACTAAACCGTTAACTAACCATTAGTTAACGGTTTAGCGGAATTAATCGGTTTGCAAAAACGAATTAAGCAAATTAAACCAGCCTAGAAAACAACAAAGGGACAAAATAAAATACATCTATCAAATATGAATGTTTTTGAGTAGCATACATACATAAAAACATAGTATGTATTTATGTTGGTGTATGTATATAAAATATTCCATAGAGAGCAAAAACACAAACAGGTGTGATAGACACCTGGTTGGATGTTGTCCTCTGCAGTGTTGTTATTAACCAAAACATATGTTTTAAAATTTTTGATGACTGAATTAAAGCTGTAATAAAATAAAAGGTAATTATAAGATTGAAAACTTGCACTTAAAAAACATACGTTGCCCTGGCAGCTAACTGAAACAAGTAAAAATGATTAAAATTAGAATTGAAATAAAAAAGAAAGCTTAACAGAAATATTAAAATATTAGTAAATAAAAAAAAAAAAACTAACAATAATGAAAAAAGCACAGGCTAATTCAAAATATTAATAGTACATAAATAATAATAAAACTACATAGTTTTATATCTGCTTGTGCATCTACATTTCTCCCCAGAATGCGGAGTTTATTCTCTATAGCACTTGTGCTGCTGGTGGTGTTGATGATCTCCGTGGAAGCCAGTATGAAGAAAAAAGGTTCTTATTTTTTACAAAATGACTTCAAATGATGCAATGCACATTCCTTTGGTGTGATATCATTAATAATCATTCTCTATTTTGCCACAGAAAAGGGCAAAGAGCCCAAAGCAGATGCCGAGTGCAGTGAATGGCAGTATGGGAAATGCGTGCCCAACGGTGGCGACTGTGGGGCCGGCATTCGGGAGGCGACCTGCAACGAACAGACAAAGAAAACCAAGTGCAAAGTCCCATGCAACTGGAAGAAAGATTTCGGTGGTAAGGAGATTTACTGTATATGAATACACTGAATGCATGCCTGGATGTGAATCAAATTAAAATACATGTAGACAGGCCATTCAGTCGAGTTTGTTCTTGGTTTTTTAGCTGACTGCAAGTACAAGTTTGGTCGCTGGGCCGAATGTGACACTACTACAGGAACCAGAAGCAGGTCTGGGACATTGAAGAAGGCACTGTTCAACGCTGAATGCCAGACCACCATTAAAGTGTCCAAACCTTGCACCCCAAAGACCCCCAAACCCAAGGGAGGCGAGAAGAAGAAAGGAAAAGGGAAGGAAAACTAACTTGAAGACCATCCCAACAACCCCATTGCCCACTCAGTGGTACATTCCTATGTGACACTCCCAAATTCTCCAAAAGGTGAATGCTGAGAGAAAAAAAAAAAACTGTAGCCCTACCTATTGTTTTTATTTCCACTTTCTTTGTTTTGTAATTAGTAAATGTACGTGTCTATGCTGTTGTAATTTGAACTCTGTAGCGAATTTTTAATTGTAATTGACTTTGCATGTATAAAACAGGCCGCAGCAAATCTGTTGTCTAACAAATTGTCTTTACTAAAGAGAAAAACTGGTGAGAGCCTAATTATGCCCCTAAACAAAAGTATTTGTAAATTACAGCAAACCGAATGAAGACGATTTCTGTACGTTATAACATGTAAGCTGAATGCTTAAACGAACGTCGCTCCTGGAAGTAACGGCCTATATAAAGTATCTATGTTTATAAATGTTTATGTTTTTAGATTTGATGGCTGTACAATCAAATTTACACCACTAACTAATACTTCTACAGGTTGTGAATAAATTAAAGTGTATTTTCAATCATAGTTTCTGGTGCTTTTTAAAAAACATTATTGTTCAAGACGTACAAACTTGGAAAAATTACTTTAATGACGTCAATATAGTTGTTCATTTGCAATTTTAGCAATGTTATAAACATAAAATAACTGATATATTTTCAGTTGTAAAACTAGAACACAATGCAATTTCCATAAGAATGTAATTATGATTTACACAAATTTGTTTGGTTTTTTACCAATTTGCACAAAGAGTAACAGTCTTAAACTGTATCAGAAAGCTTTTTTTGTTGTTGTTGTTTTTGATACAATTCGTAGAACAAATGCAGTTATAGTGACATGATGAATAACAAATAACTCAACAAACACGTTTATTTTTACTTCTCACTTTAGTAAACCACTATCACACTTACAAAAAATAAGAATCAACTTAATGACTTTGCAATACATTTAATGCGTGCAATATGAGCTACTAAATACTTCACTTTATTTACACTTTTGGCTCTGGTAAACCAGCATCATGCACACAAAAAAAGAATCAGTGTCTTCTCTAAACTATTGCATTGATTTACACAAACTGTTGGCGTAAGAATGCATTCGCAAACAACTACGATGCGTCAAAATCGTACACGTAATGTGTACTTTTTATCAGAAACACGATAAACACCAATAACCTCAATCAACTCCACTTTTTTTACTTTTGGCTATAGTAAAACAGCTTCAGTCACAAAACATCTGAGCGAATCAGGTTCCTCATTAGTTGGCCAGGAGTCATTGATAAGAGACTGAAGTCCGACTCATTTTAATGTCAGATTTCTGAACTTACACATCAACAGTCGTTTAAAGGTTCTTTTGAAGGTGGCGTTACAGAGTGCGTAGCACACTGGATTTACCGTGCTGTTGACGTAGCACATGAAGTAACCCACCATCCACAGAATTTCAGGGACACACCAACGGCAGAAGGTACCAATCAGAACCATAACGCTATAAGGTGTCCAAGTAACAATGAAGGCCAGAAGAACAGCAAGGACTGTCTTTGTCACCTTCCTCTCTCTCAGAGCCTTCCATCTGGCATTCTTGGAGACAACCTTGGACGCTTGACCTTGAACCTGAATGGCAGTATGGTTTTGAAAACAGTGAGGTTGCGTTGTCCTGCTAGTTTCCACACACACTGTCAAGGTCTTCGGTCTTGAGGTTGCTGCATCCAGCCCTCGTTCTTCCATAGAGGAATCAGGACTTGACTCCAAGGAGTCATCAGTCTTGCTGAACTCTACAGAAAAGAGCCGTTTCATTCTAACGAGCTTTGAATCATGTTTAAATGTGCATGAGTCATCCGGTTTAATGTCATTCACTAGGTCAGGGTTTGCAGTTGACGTTCCTCCACTTGTCTTAGACAGATCAATCAGGTTTGCGGATTCAGGCATCAACTTATGAACCCGTCTCTGACTGGCCAGGGATATTTTCGTGTACAGTACCGTCATTATTACAACGGGAATGTAGAACGCTGGGATAGTGGTTGCCAGGGTTACAGCAGGGTTCGCGAGGAGCAGGATGTAACATTGTCCCTCTGGGACCTTGCTCCTGTCCCTCCCAGCCTGCCAAAGCAGGATAGCTGGAGCCCAGAGAAGCAGAGACTGTAACCAAGCTGCGGCAATCATCACCCCAGCCCACCTTGCAGTACGTTTGGTTGGGTAACTCAGAGGCCGGGTCACGCAGAAGTACCGGTCAAAACAGATCAGTAGGAGGTTCATCACAGAGGCGTTACTCACCACGTAATCCACAACCAACCACAAATCACACATCTGTGGTCCCAAAGGCCAATATCCCTTTACGGCGTACACAATGTAGAGATTCATGGAGAAAACACCGACGATAAGGTCCGAACAAGCAAGACTAAAAAGGAAGTAGTTGTTGATGGTTCGGAGATTGCGGTTGACTTTGATTGAAAGCAGAACCAGGACGTTGCCCAGGACTGTTAGCAGGCTGATGCAGCTAGTGATAAGTATTATGGCGACCACCCCTACAGTCCCGAATGCACGACGTGGTCTTCCCGATACCAAGTACGATTCCTCGGGCAAGGGACTGTGCATGCTACTGTTGAGCATGATGGAGGAACTTGTGGAGGAGCCTGCGACAAGAAAACGGAAATTTACCATAAATCAAGTTTTAAAGAGGTGTTTAACTTGACATATGAGCAAACAACTTGAAATTGAACTCTTTAGATAGTATATAGTACACTTTATATGCTAAAATACACAACTCTAATTGGTTGCACATAGAAATGAAGAGATAAATTTGACAAAACAATAAATTATGATCCTAACATGATCTAATCAGCAAACTTACCGTTAAAAACGAACCACTCAAAGTCCCTTGAGAAAACGACAGATCCAGTCTCCATGATCTCCTGCTCCGTCTGTATGAGAGAACGACTGGGAGGACTTGTAATTCCTCAGACAGTAACACCCATCCTAACCTTCCGAATACATAACCAGGAACAAGTCATCCAACCTCTTTAGGCTGTATCAATACACTAAATTTACTGGAAGATGATCAAAGTAGTGTGGAACGATCGTGTTACTGCTGAATTCCTCCTAGTTTCGTGCTGCCCCCTTTTTAAAGCATGTATGCTTAATGCAGTTCCTGTCATCTAAAGAGGAAGGCAGCAGTTACGTAAGGGATGGAATCTAATTACCTGACCTGTAATGAAGCTCCACAGCTGTTTTACATCTTTTAAATTTTATTATGATTCTATTTTAATATTTTAAATATCACACATACTACAACAAATTACAGATGTTTACATAGGTAATAGGTAAAGTTGGGGGGGGGGGCTGAGTAAGTTTTATGAAAACAATGCAATATATAATTAAAAGAAACTTAATTATACAAAGACAATTATTTTAAGACAAATAAGCACATTTTCCTCATTTTTATGACCATATTGTGTTACAGATGTTTGCTTATTTATATTTATTTTAAATTGTGGTCTTTTTCAGGAGAATTTGGAAAAAAATTTGCTTAACTGTCATGAAAATTGACAAAGGAAATAAAAATATAAATACAAAATAAAAATATGCTAATAATAAAAAAATAACTTGGGAAAATTTGTCATTGCATTGATTGATTTTTTGTTAATGTCCAAGTTTTTTTTATAATTCCCATTATTCTCTGTCATGTTTGTCATTGCTGTAGTACAGTATTTTTACTGCATATATTTAAAGGAATAAAATACTTCAAGCATAACAAATGCTGTCTTTTAAAAAAAAATGATATTATGCAAAAATATGGCCCAATATTGTAATATACAATATTGTATTGTAATGAATAAAAATAAATAATATCAAAAACAACTGAATTAATTTCCATATTCCCATTTTATTAAAACTCTCATAACCGTCATTACCACAGGATCTTTGGTGTCCCACAAAATTCTTTTACAACACCTAGTCCTCATTTTCACTAAATAAAGAACCAACTACACATTTATGGTAAGCCATTACAACACGTCCCTCTGGTCTGGTCAGAAAAGGGAGTTGAATTCTGGTCCTTTCCACCATCATGATTTCAGCTAAGGTACCGATCCAGCAGTGAGAGCATATACATAACCACACATCCAACAAGAACACAATTACAGTTTTTAAAATGTCACACTTTCGGTCGCCGTCAGCTATTCTCGTCAGAACAAATGAATTGTCAGGAGGCCTAAAAGTCTAAAACAAGCCCTGCATGAAACGACTTCATAAAAATAAGTTGTGCATATGGTCAGAAATTAGTAAAATTAGGAAAAGGGGTGTCCTTGATGGAGTTTAACGTAAAAAGGTCCTTCTCTCTTATCATAGAAGCATTTTTTAAAAATCAGGATTGCATTTGTCATTCACACAAAGGGTAAAATAAATAATCGAAATGACAGCCAACACAACCAGACTTCAGATTTACCAATATTTCTACCAATAACTAAAACACTCAACGGTCAAAAGGCTTATGAAGAAGCTATTCTGGTTTTGTCTCACATCAGAACGGCATTTTTGTGGTTCAGTAAGGAGAAGATTCCCCAAGGCACTGAACTCATGGAAAAACACCAAAGGGTATGTGGTTTCCGAGAGGTTCCTCAGCTGCCATTGTTTGCGATGAGACCTCAATCCAATAGAATCTTACATCCAAAAACGTTCAAAACACAAACCATTCCTATTGGGGACCGTGTTTTTTTGGTTTTGTTTTTTATTTACAAAAAAAAGCTACTAATTCAAGCCAAGCAGCTAAAATAACAAAATCTTTTACACAAAAGCAGAGGGAGATATTTTTATAAATGCTTGTTAACGAAAGGCCTGTGCATATGCAAATGCATTGACAACTCAAATCGCTAGAGTTGACCAATCGTACACGAGAATCTAAACAAGCACAATAGAGCTCAGAAGGCAAATGTCATAAAAAAAAAAAAAAAACATCCCGAAATATGGATTTAAGTTTTTTCCCACGATTTATCATCTCTACATTTACAATGCTACATTTATTTATAATAAAACTCTCTAGGTTCAGTGGAGGACACTCACAGACATACACATCCACACATACAGACAGTGCCCGTCGTCAG